TGTATAATGCTATGAGATTTAAGTTATTTAGTTTAAACATTTATGTTTTCGTATTATAATTTGTAGTCACTATAGAACGAAAAAGGCATAATTTACATTTATTTCCTCATTTTTTTAACGTTCTTATGAGATAAGTCAAATTGACAAAACCTGTACAGAGATTCATTACTGAAAAAAAAAAGATAAAATATAAAGTATTTTTCTGAAGAAACATTTGATAAATATCTGAACATTATAAATATTTCGCATGTGAAATTTGAAAAATTTCTGATGCACAAAAGTATTTTTAATCTTAAAATGAAAATTACTTTACATGTTGGATAGGCAACATACGAAAAGAAAATAAGGCATGAGAAAAATATTGCTTTACAAACCTTAAGACTTAACAAAAAATTTTATATTTTGCATATGAAAGCACTGTAATGTTTACTGATAATCTGACAAATTTCGTTAACATACGCTTACTAATTCAAAAGTTATAGCATGAAATCTATTACAAGCACAAAATGGTTACAAGGTCGGTCCCAGAAAGAGTTGATGATTCAAACAAGCCATTAGCATTCCTTGTCTTCCACCTCTTTCAAAATTCCAATTTGAACACTGTTGTTTTAGTTGTAGTAGTTTTTGTGTTATATATAGACACACACACACACACAGTCAGTATTTGAAAGTAACCAATAGTTTTGAAGTGATCCGCTGGTGCTGTTAATGCTTAAAATAAAGAAAACTTTAAATAAAAGTGAAATTTAATCAAATAAATTGTACACACAAACACACATATGTGGAAAACTGATATGTTTCTTAAACACAGGAGGTATAGAATTACAAAAACATTAGGTAAAAATGCACCAGCTACAAAAATTGATGTGATGATTAACGAATTTCAGTTTTCAGCCAGGCATACTCTGTGTACTCATGATCAAGGTAATATTTTCCCCCTTCAGTAGGATCCTCCCTGCAAACAAGATTTATTCAAATTTAGAAAAATTAAATAAGCTAAGAAATACAACTAACAATTTCAACAAGATCTGAAGTTATACATAATGGAGTACTGACCAAAACAATTTTGTGAAATTATCTTTTGCCCAATTTTTACAGCAATAAAAAAAATGTAATTTGTTACAACCAAGAATTCACATTTCCTATTCAACAATGCCCTCTCTTAACAAACAGATGGTACAGCAATGGGTTTACCACTGGATCTAATGTTAGCTAATATATATCTCTCGTATCATGAATAGAAATGAACCGACACCTGCCCCACTGACTTTTGACCTCTTTTTTTTACAGAAGGTATGTAGACAACACTTCACAACAAGGATCAATACTCAGAAGTTTTAGAATACCTGAACTTGCAACATCCCACCATTAAATTCACTTGCAAGGTTGCAAATAATAATAATTTACCTTTTTTAGACATCCTCATTAACCACAACACTAGTAGATTTAGTACATCAAAAAACAACATTTGTTGGACTCCTTACACAATTTAACAGCTTTATCCCACTTACATACAAAAGAAATCTTGTAACATGCTTATTAAACAGAGCTTATAACCTGTGTTCCATGTACCTTAATTTACATTCAGAAAATTTGCTCATACAGGATACTATACTCTAAAATGTAATGACTACCCACAATATTTATTACAAAAAATTACTATTACCTTTCTAACTATGAAACTTGCAAATCCACCCAAACTACCAACTGTACCCAAACTTACTGTCTTTTATACATTGGTAAACATAGCTTAACAAATTAAATACGTAATTCAGAATTAATACTTCCAGGTTGATTTCTGATTAATTTTTAAACCCACATCAAGCATACAGGATTTTTTTTCCATACTAAAGACCTTCTCCCAATTTCTCTTTGCCCTTGGCTTGTATATCTTTACATGTGTGGAGACTGTACAGCCTCCTATATTGGCAAAACCAAACACCATCTACAAGTTAGAACCAATGAACATATGAGAATTTCCACAAAAACCCAAAAAAAAGTTGAATAACCCCTGTGCTTCTTCTCTACACCAACATAGTGCAGAAACAGGACACAAACTTAACCTATCAATATTCAATATCCTCTGCAAGGCCAACACTGATCTGGAATTACTGATTAAAAAACTCTCCACATTAAACAACTTTCACCATCACTGAATAACACAAGTCTTCTTTTAAATTGCACATTTTTTAATATGTACAGTATTTTTGTTTGTTACTACCTTCACTTTCTGTATGTTTTAATGTGATTAAATTATTGTTATTGCAGCAATGTATTTTATCTATTTACTTAGGAATGATATAATTCCTTTATTTTGCTTTAGATACTGAAAATGAAATCTGTAGAATTCTGAAACGTTTATCTGTGTTATAAATAAACAATGTTGTTTATCTTAAGTATTGTTATCCATTCTATTGAAAGTTCCATCAAGTTCTTAAATAAAACAATAAGAAGGTCTGGTTTACACTATTTTCCTATCTGTTTTCCCAAATAAGATTTAGAATATACAACAGGGCTTGATCTAGGATTTTAGTGGCAGCAGTGACGCATTTCTTTGCATTCAATAGGATGTTCAGCATTTTATTTTTTTCACTGAATACTGATTTAGAATTTATCATTTTATATAGCCCAAAATATCACTTTATATGGCCAAATATGATCAAATCTTGAATAGAAGACATCAAAAACAATAATTTTACTGTCTATTTAAAGCATGATGTTAGTTTCATTTCAAACTTAACACAACATTGGCAAGGTTTTCATTCATTTAATTGTGTTGTTTATTCTTTGATAATAAAACTGTTTGGTTAAATGATAAATGTGAAAAAAAAAAACTATCAGCCCAGTTGTCACGTAGTCAAAGAAACTCAGTTTTATAATCCTTAAAGCCTTCTGAAGCTATTAAAAAAAAAAACTGTATGCATCAGAAACTGGTTTTGATGAATATATATTTCTCTAAGTATTACAGTAAGCAAAACTGATAAAGTATCCAATAAGTTACTGCTAAAAGCACAATAATAGTTATTCTGAACTAAAGCACTCTCTTCAATACACAAGTGTTGTACAGAATATATAAACTGAAAAGTACAAATCCTCTTTACACCATTACTATAAGTTGGACAGTTATTGATATATGAAAATGTGCATTAAAAACATGCAAGACATTTTAATTTTTCTCACCAACTTGCTTCCTTTGTTTAGTTTTGATGTGAATTTCTTCTGCTTCATCTAGCACAAGATTCATGTACTCATCAAATCCCTGAAATAATTGGAATTTAAGCCATTTTTATAACATGAAAGAAGAAAATCAAAAAGTTAAAGAATTATGGGAAAAAATTGTTTGACTTCATACCTAGCTAAAATACTAGTTGTTTATCCTGAATTTTAGATCTTGATAAATATTTAGCTTTAATTCACAGTTTTACTTAAAATTACTGGACTGACACTGTTTGCTAACATAAGACTTTGATGCTTAATTTTGAAATAAGAATTTAAAAGAAAATTATACATAACACATTATATAAGAGGCCTGTTTTGAAAACAAAGTCACAAACCATTCTAGATTTGTAGCTTTCCAGAGCACATTTTTACTGTATTACACTTCTCAAAAAAAAAAAAAAAAAGATGGCATCAATTATACTACTAGTGTATAACTGTTTTAAAATTATTTTGCATGTACAAGATTTTCACTGCAACGTATTTTAGTTTCATTTTATTCATTAGAACTATAAATCCAAAAATTCAAACATCTTCAATCTCACTATAGCCAAGAAATTTAATCAACATAATTGATTATCTGTGGCTATGAGCAATGTTCCCTCTAATTTTTTCAATCCATGTGCAGAATGAATTTTTTCATGTGTACCAGTATCAAGGCAATGTGCAGATGTGTGCTACCAGTTTTTTTTTTTATTTGATTCTTTTGAGGATGGGTATTTTTAGGCCACTTTGCAATGCTACCAGTTGGTTATTTGGGCTATAGGCCTATCAACCACCAGGGTCATTAAAGCTGACAACATGTTGAGACTCCTCAGTATTAATGAGGATGTGCACACAGCTGGAATAATGAAGAGCACGTCACTTGATTGGTTATTGTGCGGCCACACAGCTTAGAGAGAACACTGGCTATGAGCAGTACTTTGTGTAATTTAATCTTTTTTTGTTAATACATTCATATACACATTAAATATCCATACTGGGTGAAAATAATGAATCTTGCAGATTGATTTGAATTTTAAGGAGTAAAACTAATTAAAATTAATTTATCAAAAAAATTTTAAAATCCAGAACAAAATCCCAAAATACAACCTGTTTTTTCACACCTATACCACAATGAGCCAACTCAATTTACTGGGTTTTGAACTTAATGTAACAACTTACAGAATCATTATGGCATTAAACATTACAATTAAACATGGTACCACAATGAATGTAGCATACATGCTCTAATACAAAGAACATTATAAAACTATAACCTAATAAATACTGAAACAATTATGTACACTTTCAGCTAAAACCACAAAAAATTTTTTCTCCAGTATTTTAATATGATCTTTCTGTTGCCAGTGGGTTGTTGCAAATTGTAAATTTTAGGTTACAGGGAATCCACAAAAATACTGGAAATGATCATATAATGTAAAATACACAGCTGTAATAATGTGCAGTAATAAAACAGTTTTTTTTTTACAGTCAGGAGTAATGGATTTATTGCTGTAAGCACAGTGTAAGGTACTACATAATACTCTTACTACAGGTAGGTCAAATAGAGCATCATGATCTTTTAGAGAATTACATTCAAATTTTAATTAAACTACTTTATCATCAATGTGCGTGAATAAACTTGGAATTAAAACATAGTTAATATATCATATTTTAATATACGTTTTAAGCTCTTAATTTCATAAGTAAATATTTAAAAAAACTTCTCAATCTCCCCTAGTATGAGAATCGTGGCATTTCTCAAATTCTTCTCTAATTTATTTATCACCCCTATCTGAAGTACAGAATTATGTAAATTATTCATTACAATATAAGTATATTACTAAGGTAAGGAAAAATTTTAATAGCCTTTAATTTTATTTGTTTACAGAATAAACTAGAAAATCATACCCACTTACCACACCCACCTGTCACATTATCTCTTTCACAAATTGCCAATAGTTCTTTTTGACACTTTATTTATAAACAATAGAAAGGCAAAGTTTTAATCTATCAAATAGTGTATTATATTACACCGCTTTCAGTACAAAGTATTGTCTGTTTATTTTCAGATTAAAAGATTTTTCTTGTGGGGTTCAAATCGAGACCTTTTAGGAATTATTTTAAGGCTCTCATGCCATAGTTTGATTTGTGTGTTATAATTCTGTTTTGTTAGGTGCATTATTTAAGTAAATAAAAATTTAGTGTACTAGTACCTTTAGTATAGTCTTACATTTCATTGGCAACTAACTGCAAAATATAATAAAGTTTCATGTATCTTCTTTATGCATTATTATAAAGATAACTAAATTGTAAAAATTAAGATAATGTAAAAACTTTTTCACGAAGTATGCTTATGAGCAGCTCATGCATTAAATTATTCACTACAATAACGAGCTACAAGTTCACTGAGTGATTTACAACTTTTGTGATGGGATTATTAGTTAGGTATGATTCAAAGTATAAACAATTGAAGTTATGTTACAATCTCCAGTCATTATAGAAAGAAAAAAAAAGATAATTTAGATTTATTTTGTATTCTTTTATGGTGGTTACAAGGTTAGTACTTTGACCAAATCCATATAGTTAGGGATAAATGTAAAGTTTTACTGAAAACGAAACATTTGATATTTATATAAGAAGTTTTAGAGGTTACACAAACGAAATTTGAAAATTTTCAGATGTAGAAAGATATTTATAATCTTAACATGAAAATTACTTTGAACTCTCCATATATTCACAGACAAATTTTAGTAAAAATACTTAATTACAAAATCTGATTTTTGTGTACAAACGACTCGGAAAGTTTACTGAAAGCTAGCCAAATGTTTTCAAGACACACAAAACATACCCCAAATTATAGTATGGAAACTGATGGTTACTTTGATTGACCCCATGTGAAAAAAGATAAATAGAACAGGAAAAGTCATGCTAGGTATAACATTATGACTTGAAATTGACCCCATTTTATTTCAAGATGAAATCAACAGAAAGAAAATGTAGTGACTGTTTACAAAACAATGACAAAAACAGATGTACAGGCAACAAAATTAAAACCTACTCATCTCTCCCTCAAAAGAACTCATGGAATAGGTAAGAACATTTATCTTTGTTTTTAATACAAAGTTTTTTTAGTCAAACAACAAATAATATTGATAACTAACAATATAATTTGGAAAATAATGTCTGTTTTAAAATTTAAAGAAAGCCTTGCATTGGCAGCTAAGTTATGAAATTAATTTCCAACACCGCAAAAGGGTGTACATTCCTATATAAAAAATATTCATAAAACTACAAGATAAGCTGCGTACTTATAGTTTATAGTTACCTATACAAGTCAGTATGAAAGAAATCTGAAGGTTAACAGACAGCAAAAAAAAAAAGGTAGAAAATGTGGTTTAAAATCTCAACTTTTTTTCTCAAAAAGTAATGCCCTATTGTGGAAACTAGTTTTTACAACTTTTAGTGGACAAATACAGGAGGTACACAATAGAAGCAGTAATTTTAATAACTAATTGTCTATAAATATTTAAATAATAAGTTAAAATGCAGTGGATTTCTTATAAAAAAATAACCCATTTTCATTTTCAAGTTCAAGCATTATTACTTCGTGAAACTACAGTGAGTAGAATTTCTCCTTGCAACCACTATCAAACTTTCTCATCTTGTGTGCATTTGTATAATTAAACATTTTCAGAAGTATTTCATTTTGAAATAAGCAAAATACAGCATATACATGCTAGATGTAAGTCTTTCAATAATGGATAGATGCCATAAGATTGGAAATTGGTAATGCTATTCCTCTTTTCAAGGTAGGTGATGAAAATTGTATCAGTAATTAAAGGTCTTTCAGTGGTGGGAAAAGTTTTTGGAAGTCTGATTAAAGATAGTCATTTAACAAAGTTTAAAATTTTGTTGGATGGTCAACATAGTTTTACTAGGGGAAAATCTTGTCTCACTTATGTTTTGACATTCTGTGAAGAGGTTACTGCTTACGTAGATGACGGTACAGCTGTAGATTGACTTCTTTGTGGATTTTCAAAAAACATTTCACAAGGTGTCACATAAAAGGCTTGCAAAAAATATTTATATAGGTGTGTGGAATAAGTTGGCTAATTAGATAGAAAAGTGGCTGGATGGAAGAAAACAGAGGATTATTATAAATGGAATTCAGTCAAACTGGATTATTGTTATAAGTGAGGTACCTCAGAGCTCAGTATTAGAACCTTTGCTCTTTTTAATTTATAGCAATGACACAGATGAAGAAATGTTCAATAAATTACTTAAATTTGCTGATGATAGTAAGGTCGTGAGTTAACTGGCTGTGAGGAGGACGCTGTTGCTTTACAAAAGGACTTAAATCAGTTAGTGAGCTGGGCAAATTAATGGCAAATGGATTTAATTTTAATAAATGCAAGATAATGCATCTGGGTTATCATAATTCATCAAATTCAAAGTACCATTTTGATAGTAATAACCTTAACAGTGTTAAGAAAGAAAGGGATCTTAACCTTCTCGCTATGAGCTTAACCAAATAACCCTAGTTCATGACCACCAATTGACCATTACAGTTTCATACTATAATTTCTAATATGTTTTGTGTACCTTCACAAAATTTTGCATGCTTTCAGTAATCATCAAGTATTTTGTAGACAATAAAAAAAAAAAAAAAATACTTTATTGAAGCATTTTCACTTAAACTTTCTCCATGAATATATATGGAGTCAAATTGTTAAGTTCTCTCAGTGCAAAGCGATTTTCATGTTAAGGTTAATAGTACTTTTCTTCATCTGAAAAATCTCAGATTTCATTATTTTAATCTCTAAAATCTGTTAAATAAATTTTTGAAGTTTTTTTCGGTAAAAGTTTAAATTTTATGTTATTTTCTCTACACTAACTATACAAGATTGGTCAATTTGACCAACCCTTAACCACCACAAAAAAATTAAATAAATCTATATTACCCTTTTTCTCTTTTTGGAATGACTTCAAATTGTAACACGAAACTACATTTGCTTATCCTAAATAGCTTTAAACTCTTAACAGTATACAACTTTTTCTACTTAAAATTTTTAGTTTTATTGCTATTTCAACCATGTCTAACTAATATTTGCACCACATAAGTTGTAGCTCACTCAGCAAACATGTAGTTCATGCTACTCTCTCAAATTACATAACACACAAGTTATTCGTAAGTTTCTCGCAGGTGCACCTTGTGAAAATTATTCATTATTATTATTCAGTATTTTACCTAACTTAACCTAAAAGTTACTAATTTATACATTTTAGTTACTTTTATAATAATAAATAAAGAATCGCATGAAAAACAAAAAATGTAGTACTTACCTGGGTCTTTATTTTTGTTTGCTGTCTACAAAATTGAACCCTACTTTTTTTATACTAATGATACTCTCACACTAAATAAATTATTATTCTATCAAATAAAGCACCAAAGAACGCAGAATAATAAAATACAAAAAAGCAGACAATGTCCTATAACTGGCTTTCTAACTATGCAAGAAGACCGATTAAAAATACAGCTTAGCTTATTGATGTCTTTCTAGTGGAAATAAAATTTGTACAGGACACATGATAGACAATTCTGTATAAAAAAACAATGTAATATAAAACATCATTTGACAGATTAAAATCTATAAATAGTATAGTATTAACTGTCAGAGAATTATTGGCAATTTGTGAAAGAGGATGTGACAAATGGGCATAGCAAGAGGAATCTAAAACTAGTTTATGGCTCTATAATCAAATAAGATTGAAGGCTATAAAAATTATGCTTTACCTGAACAACAAAAACATTATAAAAAGTAATTTATGTTAAATTTCTACTTCAAAGAGGGGTGTTAAATTAAGGAAGGGGGAATACCTAGAGAGCAAACATCACAATTCTCATGCTAGAGGAAAATGAGGATTTTTTTTTTACATATTGTCATATAAAATTAAACTTATATAACATTAAAATTTGGATTATTAGCTATGTTTGATGCCAAGTTTATTTGTGTAACATGATAATAAAGTGCTTTAATTAATTTTGAACGTACGTCACAAAAATCTCATGACATGTGCAGAAAAAAATGCCAATAGTGAGAGGATTAATGTTCTGGTTGTTGATCAGTCTTAAGCCATCCAAGCAATGTGCTGTTGATAGTGGCAAGGCAAATAAAATTTTTGGTTGTATCTACATACATATTGAATACAAGTCTAAAGAAGCTTAATTTCATGACATAGACCAGTGATAAGGTCACATTTGGAATACTGTGTTCAGTCTTGGGCTCTTTGCCTTAAAAAGGATGTTAAGTTACTGGAAACAATTAACAGAATGACCACTAAGATGATACCTGTGATGTAAAGGCTGTCATGTAAGAGCAGGTTAAGATCACTGAAATTGTTTTCTCTTGATAAATGTATGGTTAGAGGGAATTTGATCGAGGTTTTTACTATTGGTAATGCATCATATTTATTCATACTTAATGTAGAGAAGGGTAGGACTAGGAAACACAAATATATAAATTTGGCAGTGTAGGAGTCATCTTCAGCTAAGAAAGTTTTATTTTTCTAACCCAGTGGTTGGCCTTTGGAACAAATTGCCTTCAAATGTGTTGGATACAGTAAATTCAAGAGAGTTTAAAGGAAGACTTTATTAATATTTGAATGATAATGGCTGGCTTTAACTGTTTATTTTTTTTTAATTTAAAATTTAGTTTAGCGGATGAGATGGCCTAGATAGACAAATAGATCTCTTTTCGTCCTTAAATTTTATGTTATGGTGCTGATCTATTGAGCAAAGTCAAGTAAATTTTCAAACTCCAGTATTTACTTCCAAGACTTTTTTAACAAATGTTTCATGCAGCATATGTGAATTTCATTTTCTGCCTCCAACTCAACACTGTCCTCCAATATTGCATATTTTTTCTCATGAGCTCTGCATCAATCGCCTAAATGTAGCATGTCTGAAAAAGCAGTAAGCTGTTAATCAGCAGGAAATTTTCATCCCTGTCACATAAGACATAAAATACCATTTGAATGCAAATAATGCATTTAATTCATGATTTATAACTGTTTTATTCAGTACACTTGAATACAAAACTTACAATAATGTGTCCTTCTATTCTGAGATTTACATTTTCATAAAGCCATATCTGAATTCTTGCTCTCTACATAAAAACAAACAAAAAAAAACAATATTACTAATCACTATTTTCAAACCACTGTTAGTTTTAAGTTGACTATTTTTTTAAATATGTTTACTATATCTAATTGATAAATTTCAATATTTGAAACACATTAATACTTTGTTTTGCAGTACATGCTTATTTTTTTGAGGCACAAAACACTGATGAAATAATTTACACTCTTAAATCTTTTATAAAGATCCATGCACTAAATTCTTATTAATATAACTTGTCCTTTGACTTTCATATTGAAATTACTAGTTTTTATATAGAAACATCACAAAATAAGCAAATGTTAATATGAAAATATACAAAAACACAAGACTTACATTTTGAAGATACCTAAAAATCAAGTTCTGCGAAGAGACTGTCAAGCAAAATAAACCTAAAGGTTTTCATTTCACTAAATATCTAAAACAATACACGTGTGTGTGTGTTCAAACAATAAAAACTTCAAAAAGCTAAAGACTGAAAATGGTTTAACCAGCATAGTTCTAAAGATCATCACATGCTTACTATGGTACTGTCTGTGTTGAAATTTTTCATAAACAGTACACCCCAATTAAGGAGCCTAAAATAAATATTGATATACGACTTAACAGTACATGTAAGATTATCCAACTACATAAGTACTGTTTAGTAATATGTCATGGAAGAACTATCTATTTGGGACAAACTATTTAAATACCAAGATTAGAAAATGAACCTTCTTTCCAAAACTGTCATGTGTGATAACTACAGTAGGCTTTAGCATTACAACAACAATGACACAGAATGATATTTATCACTAACTCAACTTAGCCAGTGACAACTTGATTAAAGGTTTAACAGATCACTCGAAACATCACCATTCAAATCTTAATCCAGATGATTTTTTTTGGTTAATCAGGAATTTATTCCTTGCCTGTATAAGTTGATGGTTTTCTCTTTGTGAGAATTTAACTGTTTTGGTTTACATTAACAATCACGAACAAAAAAACATGTTAAATTAATAATAATAAAAAAAATCCTTACGAAATTTCCTACATGGAGGATGTGAACAGAAAATGTTTTTTAGGTTTTACACATATATTTTAAATAACTCAAAATAACCATAAATTACTGTATTGATACCATAGAATATCATTATAATTTATCAAGAGTAGCAACTAAGCTGTATTTAGGTCTAAAAAATATGAAATTTCACACTCATTAAAAGACTTACCTTATCATTTGAAATTTTATGTGAAAAGAACGAGATTAACACAATAACACATCAAAATTGCTG